AGGCACCCGCCACTACACCCGGTTATTTTGTTGTTGTTGTTGTTGTTGCAGTTGTCACTGTTGTTTTAACTGGCCAGGATTAGGTTCGAACCTGCCAGCCTTGGTATATGTGGCCGGTGCCCTACCCAATGAGCTATAAGTGCCGTCCCTGAGGTGAGATCCTAGTAGGCACATATTAGCCCCACACCATAGCATTGTGTCTGCTAGGTAGGGTAGCAGTGCCCTTGAGACCATGTTGCCTTCCTGTCCTTCTAATAAGTCCTCTCCTCTGTCGCTGCCTAACTTCTCCTCTACTCTGTTCCTTCCCCTGGACCTTTTTCCTACTCCTTTCTGGAACCACTTACCCTGTGGCTTTGGGCCCAGTACCCGCTTCAGTGGTGAAGAACGCTGGCTGGGGGTTTCAGTGGGGGGACCTGGGTCTGAGCGAAGCCGCTGGGGACCTTCTGGATGAGGCTCAAGGCTCTGGCCAGGGTCAAGGGATAAACTTTTAACCAGGATCCGGTTTCCCTGGTACAGCCCTGCAGAAGGGAGAAACTAGGTGTGAAGTGACTGACTTTATCCCAGAGAGGACCAGACTTGCCTATCTCAGCAGGTATTTGGGCGATTGGATTTCTCTGAGTCCCTTTCCCGGCCACATTGCTTTTCTGGGAAGCCTCTACTCTAGTCCTCAGATGGAGAGGCAGGCCTAGGGCTGGGGCTAGCTGTTTTTATCAACATATAAGAGTTCTTTGTGATGATTGCATTGGTTCCATTTATGTTAGCGAGTATTATTACTAGGGAGTATATGTTTTTGCAGCCCTTGATTATATAGTCACAATGGTATGCTCAGCATAAACCATTCTTCACCCTTTGTTTAAGGGCCTGAGAATATCTGGAATTCCTTGTCTAAAATTTTGTATACCTTCATATACTTAAAAATGATGTAATTGTATTTCATGAGCAAAAATTTTGCTTCTTAAAATCCTAGTTTCTTATCAGTCTGTACTTACCCTCGACTTCCATATCCACACAAACCCAGCATCCAGAGTTTAGGTCATAGGATCAATTTTAAAATAAGAAGCAGAAAATTCAGAAAAAAGGGAAGCCTTTTGTATTGTCCTTTCTTCCTCATTGAGGATCCCCTAAAGTCACCTCTGTCTTTGGCCCTGGAATAGATGATAGGTCATGCTTATGAGAAAAGATTCAGTCTGAAAAACAATGGGGGACCAAGGGATGACATATTCCAAGGGAAGGAGACTGGGATCATGTGGTCCTGGCTAGGGAGCAGACTGTGGAAGTGCCTGAGATGACAGAAGTCAGGTAGGGTCAGAGAGAAGAGGGAAAAGTCTTGGATGCCAGGCTGAGAGCCAGACATCCATCCCGTGACATACGGGAGCCATGAAAAGCCTTTACACAGGCAGAGATGCCAGCAAATAGGTGTGAGGACAAGAGAGTGTACAGCAGTCAAGAGCTCCCAGAGGTACCACTGGCACATTTTGTTGGTTATGTTATGTCACAGCTATGTGGGCTCTCACAGCCACAAAGGGGCTATTACCCTGTATCACACACAGTTTCATGACTGACCAGTCACAAATGGGGCCACTCAGTCACAAAAAACCACATGGTGTTATTTAGACTGTTTCACACAACTAGAGCTACGCAAATTCAACCATCTAATCATCTGCCATCACTCTCTTGAAAGCCTGGTTACACAGTCACAAAGACCCATGGTCACAACCTCACATATAATCACAGAGTCTCACGGTATCAAACACCTACAAACATGGCCATGCACAGTCAGAAAGACACACAACAGCAATTCTGTTGATACCATCTCATATACAGCTTCATAGAAAAAGTGCCCAGGCTCGGCGCCTGTGGCTCAAGTGGCTAAGGTGCCAGCCACATACACCTAAGATGGCGGGTTCAAATCCAGTCCGGGCCCGCCAAAGAACAATAATGGCTGCAACCAAAAAATAGCCAGGCATTGTGGCGAGTGCCTGTGGTCCCAGCTACTTGGGAGGCTGAGACAGGAGACTTGCGTGAGCCCAGGAGTTGGAGGTTGCTGTGAGCAGTGAAGCCATGGCACTCTACCCAGGGGCTCAGCTTGAGGCTCTCTCAAAAAAAGAAAAAGTGCCCAAACATATATTATCATATATCCTGTTATACGCTCCTCAAACATGGTTCCAGTGAATTACAAAGATTCACAATAGCATTTATATTGTGTCTCATAATTGTAAGGTCACAGAGTGTCACACACACCATATATGCCGTCACACAAGCCTGCATATGTGGTTACACATAAAGACTATAGTCACACAGGGTCAATTATCCCATGTCAAACACAACAGTACACAATGGCAAAACAGCATAAAGTCACATGCCATCACATACTCAGAAACAGATACACAATCACAGATGCATGATGTATAGTTGGCCCTCCATACCCATGACTTCTACATCCTTGGGTTGGTTGAAAATATTGGAAAAAAATCAATAAAAAATAATAAAAATGGCTCAGCGCCTGTGGCTCAAGCAGCTAAGGCGCCAACCACATACACCTAAGGTGGCGGGTTCGAATCCCCAGCCCGGGCCCGCCAAACAACAAAGATGGCTGCAACCAAAAAATGGCCAGGTGTTGTGGTGGGCGCCTGTAGTCCCAGCTACTTGGGAGGCTGAGGTAGGAGACTTGCTTGAGCCCAGGAGTTGGAGGTTGCTGTGAGCTGTGATGCCATAGCACTCTACCCAGGGAGATAGCTTGAGGCTCCGTCTCAAAAAAAATAATAATAATAATAATAAAAATGATAGAAATAAAAATACAGTAGAACAACTATTTATATAATGTTTACATAGTTTAGGTATTATAAGTAATCCGGTGATGATTTAAAATATAGGAATATACCCAGTTTATATGGAAATACTACATCATTTTATATAACGAACTTGAGTGTCTGTGATTTTGGTATCCTCAGGGGGTTCTGGAATCGATCCTTTGTGGGCACCAAGGGCTAACTGTAATTTACTATGTTATACTAATGAAACAAACATGTTCATGGTGTACCGAGGTGTTAGCCATTGGTTCTTGGATACACACACATAGGGCACGTGCCTCTTCCTAGTCTAAACAATCATGGTGTCTCATGTGGCCTTTGTTACTAAAAAACATACAGCTGTGACACACACCAAGACATCCATATAGTCCCTTACAGGGTCACATAGGCAGAAAGAGTCACAGTGGATTTTAGGTCTCCCAGTCCTAGAAGGAAGGAGTAGACCAAACCACAGGGTTTCAACAGCTTCCCCAAGCCTCTAACCCCACCTACATTCCAGACAGGTAGGCCTCAGAGGACTCAGGCCCAGTCCTTCCCCACCCCTGAGGGAACTTGAGAGCCCAGGCTGAGTACCCCTCCCCAACCCTGTACCTTGCTTTGGGTGCAGTTCCTTACTTCCTTTCCCACCTGAGCAGGCAGGGCCTGGCCAGGACAACCAGGGCAGAGGAGGTGCTCCTCTCCACTCAGCTGGTCTACTTGCCCTGCCCTGCTCAGCATATCCTGGCCTGGTCCTGCCCTGCCCTCCCCCTGGGCGTGGGGTTGAAGATGAATCACCTAGAAAGCTGCACAGACATAGATACAGTTGGAGAGACAAATGGCCAGAGAAAGACAGAGAACAAAGAGAGTAGCTGCCAAGGCCACAGATGTAGTGCGTAAAGCCAGGCACTCCACCATACAGAGACTCCCTTTCCTTGGGTACATACTAGTGTTCCTGGTGCCCCTTGTCTGCCTTATCAGACCTGGAGAAGCCCACCTGGCTTATTCTCCACATCTCCACACCCAACTGGAAAACCCTCCCCAACTCTGTAGCAGGGCAGCAGGGCCCTCAGCTGGGGCTTTTCTCCCTCTGCTCTACTGCTGGTTCTCTGGATAAGGCGACCATACCACCTTCCATGGCCCTGTCATGGCCCACTCTGTCTTCCCTCCTCACCCACCTCACTTGGGAGCCCACAAATGGGCCTGTCTCTCTGTTTTCTATCCTGGATAGAGGATGAATGAAATTCAAAGATTCTGGGACACCCTAGAGTCCCAGGTGAGATGTGCAGGGACTGTCAGCCCAGTTTCTAGTGAGGAGATGAAGACAGAGAGGGGGGCAGTAACTTGCCCAAGTTTGCTTAGCAAGTCAATGGCAGAATTTCAGGAAAATTGGTCCTGAAGGATTCCTTTTTTAATCCCTGCTCTCCAAGGGAAATCTGGAAAACAGGGGGAACACAAGGGGTAAGAGTGGGCTCCAGTGCTTCAGAAAGTCACAAACTGCACCGTGGCTAGTGAGAGGGACACCTCCAACCTCTCCCACAGGGATATGAACAATAGGATTCCAGTTCAGGAGACTAGGCCTGGCCAAAACAAGGCTAGGTGCCACTGAAAGGGAAAAGGTTTAACACCTCTCCCTTTTCTGTTTCAGTATTCTCCCTCCCATGTCTCCCTGCCTAAATTTTTTTGTCTCCTGTTTTCCCTCAGTTGCTCCTTTGACCCCACTTCTTGCTTTCTCCAGGTGGTTGGATAAACCTTCTTATAGTCTAGTTCAGATCATGCCACTTATCTGCACAAGAACATTCTGTAACTCCCCACTGCCAATGGGATGGGAAGGTAGTAATTTCTCAGGTAGGCTTCTGCTGCTCCTTTTGACTCTGCTGAAATCTCTGGCTTTCTTTGGCATAGGTTGGTTCCACAGTTATTTTTGAACCTGGTAGACTCTGTGCTGGAGGATGAGAACATCCCATCCCTGCCCTTGGGGAGCTCCCAGGGTAGGGCCTCTTCGGAGAAACAACGGAGTTTCCCTTCTTCCCCATCCCATCTCCATCATTGGTTTTCTCCAGCTCATTTTTTTTTATAGTTAATAATCCACAATATTCCCTGTTATACACATACTCACACCCACACCCACATACATGACAAGGTCCTCCACCAGCACTGCTCTCCACTGCTGGGATTACCACAGTACCCAATGCCCCTTAAAGCAGAGACCACAAAGGAGCCTCCTCACACCAGTGAAATCACACCACCAAATCTTACAATACTTTGTGAAAATATACTCAGCCACACACCAACTGCACAAAGTCCTCAAAGACCTAGGGAGAACCACAGAACTTGGCAAACTTGCACACACACAGGACCACCATTGCCACTCAGACATCTCTTGTCACCTATAGAAAGCAGAAGTCCCAGCTCTGCTTTGGGATTGAGGTGTGTACGCTCCCCACTCCACCCTCACCCCTCTAGGCCCTCAGCAGGATGCAAGGGCAATTTTGATCCTTACCATCAGGGAGTTCCCATTCTCAAAGACAAAAGAATCTCTTTCAGGAAAAGCTAAATGATGGCTCAGGAAAGGCAAGGGGTGAGCCTGTCAGGATTTGAGAAGCTCAGGAAAGGCTGAGATCAGGAACAGGAGAGACAGGGTGGCCAGACAAAATGCAAGACATGGGTGATGACTGTGGCTCAAAGGAGTAAGATGCTGGCCCCATGTACTGGACATGGCGGGTTCAAAC